GTGGTTGAAAAAATTATTGGAAGAGTTACAGGTTATGGTAAATTTTCCAATCAAAATGTATTGCGACAACAAAGCAGCTATCAACATCTCCGTCAATCCAGTCCAACACGATCGAGCCAAACACATTGAAGTGGACAAACACTTCATTAAAAAAAAGGTTGAAGAAGGAATTATATGTATGACCTATGTACCTACCAAAGAACAGATCGCCGATATATTCACTAAGGGACTACCTCGACAAAACTTTGAGGATTTCATCTACAAGTTGGATATGGTCAACATCTACGATCCAACTTGAGGGGGAGTGTAGAAATCCCAATTATGAAAATATTTTTTATATGATTGTATAATTGATTTTTTACCTTAACTAGATTAGGTAAATTTTATATTTCCCTAGTTAGAAGCTTGCCTTTTTTATTCCCAGTTTGTTCTATATATTGAGGCTCTTTGTAATGTAAAATTAGAGAGAATTAAATTCTCATTTCCATATTACTTATTCAGTGGACAATAGTAGTCGCAAAGCCAGTTTTATAATGTTTTTGATGCTACCTCATCTACCGGCCACTAGTATATTTTTATGAGTTATGAAGGGATCTTTAAATACACAAAGTAATACATGATTGGTCAGTAGTTCACAAAGCCAGTTACCATAGGTATTCCCAACGCTTTCAGATCACTGTCACCCATCTGCTTCAAAGAATACATATCCACCTGCAGAATGTATCAAACTCAATTAATCCATGAAAAAATCCTTTATTTTCCCAAAACCTGAAAATTTTGGATACCATGTGCTAACCAAAAGAGTAAATTCATGATCAAGTACATAATTCATATCACGTTTACTATTTTACTCCTGGCTCCTGCCTAAAAATTGATACCTTCTATGTCATTTCAATTTCTTAATTAGACCCTTTTATTTCCTTCATTATTTCAACAATCCTTCTCATAGATATGTTTCTACTTGTAGAGATCAAGACTGACTGTAGGGTTGTAAGCCCTGGAAGTCCACATCACAAGAAAGGAAAGATTATGCATTGCAAGTTAAAAACATCGTCAGAATCACCACAAGTCACATACTTCCTCAGCCTTAAAGTAAATTGCATATTTTTCCAGGCCCAGAGATTGCAAAAAGCTTTCAACGGTAAGATGATCATTCACCTGTACAATTTATAGCCAGTTCAGTATTGAAACACGGGAAAATAAAGATAAGACAACAAAGGTTTGACGCTCATGGATCTTGTAGTAAATGCACTGTCAAATGATTTAATACTGAGGTAAACAAATTCCACTAAATTAAAGAGTTCAAAGAAAAACTAAAATAATCACACTATGAGATCTTGAAGGAATCAAGTTAGGACTTGGGAATTTAGAGAAAGTGGTGGATTAGGAAATTGTTGGATTATAGATAGATGGTAAACCATCACAAGTTCATACCACACGAAGCAAGTTCCAGGAATTTACAAACTCGATACTAAATATGTAAAAACAAACATGAATAATTGGCTAAGTTTGACATCCTTTACCAAATTTTATAGAACAGTGGATATTGGATAAACATTGAAACAATCAGTGTTCAACATAAGAAATCCATAAAATTCATGATTAATTACACTGTAGCTCGTAATGGAAAGAGTCCATTTTAAATATGCCACTCTAGTATTGATGAGGAGCGCAACATCAGATAATAAAATGAATTTTAGAACATTGAATACGCCAATAAAAACAAAAAGCTTCTAGTATTGCAGCCACTATTATCATGTAAGCACTCTCTTCTCAAATAACATTAATGACACAGTTAAGATTTGCGACAAGGAGCCTGGCGCGATCACAAAGCATAGAATAGATCTTTTTCACTATGTAATCAGAGTCTTTCAGTCTGGATAAGTTATTTTGCATTTTATCCGTAGCTGGAAGTCGGACTTTATGTCCCCCAACAGAGTTTTATATTTCCTTTTCCTGTAATAATATTAATAAAGAATCTGCCATAGGGCAATTTTTTTTTTTTTTTTTTTGGGGTGGGGGGGGTTGGGGGGGGGGGGGGG